TACTACTACACCCCATCACCACTACTACTACTACTACTACTACTACTACTACTACTACTACTAATATACTACTACTACTACTACTACTATACTACTACTACTACTGATTACTACTACTACTACTACTACTACTACTACTACTACTACTACTACTACTACTACTACTACTACTACTACTACTACTACTACTACTACTACTACTACTACTACTACTACTACTACTACTACGACTACTACTACGACTACTACTACTACTACTACTACTACTACTACTACTACTACTACTACTACTACTACGACGACTACTACTACTACTACGACTACGACTATGACTACGACGACGACTACTACTACTACTACTACTACTACTACTACTACTACTACTACTGCTACGCTACTGCTACGACTACTACTACTGACTACAGCTAGTACGATTACTAGTACTACTACTACTACTGCTGCTAATACTACTACTACTACTACTACTACTACTACTACTACTACTACTACCACTACTACTACTACTACTACTACTACCACCACCACTAGTAGTACTACTACTACTACTACTACTACTACTATACTACGACTACTACTACTACTACTACTACTACTACTACTACTACTACTACTATTACGACTACTACGACTACTACGACAACTGCTACAACTCCTCCAACTGGTACTACAACTACTACTACTACTACTACTACTACTACTACTACTACTACTACTACTACTACTACTACGACGACTACTACAACGACTACTATTACCACGACTATTACAACAACACCTAATACGACTACTACTACTACTACTACTACTACTACTACGACTACTACTACTACTACTACTACTACTACTACTGCTGCTGCTGCTACTACTACTGCTACTACTACCACTACTACCACTTCTACCACTACTACTTCTACTACTGATACTATGACTACTACTCCTACTACTACTACTACTACTACTACTACTACTACTACTACTACTACTACTACTACTACTACTACTACTACTACTACTACTACTACTACTACTACTACTACTACTACTACTACTACTACTACTACTACTACTACTACTACTACTACTACTACTACTACTACTACTACTACTACTACTACTACTACTACTACTACTGCTACTACTACTACTACTACTACTACTACTACTACTACTACTACTACTACTACTACTACTACTACTACTACTACTACGACTACTACGACTACTACTACTACGACTACTACTACTACTACTACTACTACTACTACGACTACTACTACTACTACTACTACTACTACTACTACCTACTACTACTACTACTACTACTACTACTACTACTACTACTACTACTACTACTACTACTACTACTACTACTACTACTACTACGACTACTACTACTACTACTACTACTACTACTACTACTACTACTACTACTACTACTACTACTACTACTACTACTACTACTACTACTACTACTACTACTACTACTACTACTACTACTACTACTACTACCACTAATTCCACTACTACCACTGCTACTGCTACTGCTAGTGCTACTGCTACTGCTACTACTGCTACTACTACTACTACCACTACTACTACTACTACTACTACTAATAATAATAATACTACTACTACTACTACCACTACTACCACTACTACTACTGCTACTGCTACGATTACTACTACTACTACTACTACTACTACTACTACTACTACTACTACTACTACTACTACTACTACTACTACTACTACTACTACCACTACTACTACCACCACCACCACAGCCACTACCACTACGATCACCACTGTCACGACCACTACCACGACGAGCGGGGACGAAGAGGACGGAGGGGAGGGAGAGGGAAAGGGACACAACGACGAGAGGGACGACCGAGGACGCCGAGCAGGACTGCAGTGGCCAGAGCAGCCAGGAAACGTAAGCGTTAGCACGCGTAGACTGATGCAAGCCACAGGAAGAAGAGGAGGGGGGAGGAGAGGCTCACGGAGTACCCACAAAGTGCCGGAGGAGCTGGGTCGCCTGGTCTGTTGTCTGCGCCTTTGTCGCGGTCGGGCTTGTCCCATCGCACGGGCTCAGACCATCCGTGATCCCAGCGGGTCGGGCACCCTCCCGCTGACCGAGAGGGGGTGTGTCCGATGAGAACCGTGCAGCTCAGGGGGCGTCGCCCCTGCCACCGCCCCATCCGTGTCCAGGGTTGCTGGCGGAGCGCCGCGCGCCTCGCTCCCACGCGCACGCCGAGGGGCCGACGGGGGATGGCCGAGGCCGCGCGTGCCACGGGGGGGCCTCGCCTTCGGCCCCTCGGCCCCGACGGCGGGCGGGCGGGCCCCAACCGCTCCGTTTGCCAGCGCCGTGCAGCCGATTCCTCGCGTGCCTCGCCTCGCGTGAGGGTGGACGGCTGGTGGCGTTGCTGCCGAGCGGGGCGGAGGCGGGCGCGGCCTCGCGGCGACGAGGTGGACCAACCCCCCCCGGCGAGGTCCGCCGACGGTTCGTTTCGACCAACGGCCCGATCCCGACGAAGCAGTTGCTTCTCTGGCCCGTGCCTGTGAGCGCGCACACACACACACACGCACACACCAGCAGAACCTCCGCCGAAACGAGATCGCAAATTCGACGTCCTGGACGAGCCTGCTCCGAGCTCGGGTCGATCGTGGGTGCGTGGAGTTCCCGACATCATCAAGAGGGTCCGCTCCCAGGGCCACGAGATCGTTGCCTCGGGGCGCCTTCTGGTGCGCGGGCGATGCGGTTCGTGCTGTGCATCCCCACTCTCGGCCCCCTCTCGGCATTTCAAACGAGACGTATTTTTGAGAAGCACCTTCATCCCAGGATGCCGCGCATGGGTGTTGCTACTCCCCATCCTCTCGAAGCCTCCGATGATGCCGACGTATGGTTTGGCCTAGCAGGGTTTTCCAGGGCGAGTCCTGGGCGCCGAGTCGGGTGCTGGCCGCGAGGGGCGGTGCCTTTCGTGTCGCCATGGGTCGTCAGCGCTCTCAACTCAACTCTCGACCGCTGTCGTGATCGAATGATCGAGGGTTCTTTTTCCCTGCGTCTCTCGCTAGCCCCATCTGTCCGATCATCGAGCTGAGCGATCCTTTCCGTCTGGGCCTGTCCATCCGCTCCTCCTTTCCTCATCCTTCATCTTTGCCCCCACCCACCCACCCACCCCCATCCTTGTTCCTTATTATTATATACCCCCACCTACGTCGTATTCCGGTCGATAACAACCCAATCCGGGACCTCCCATCCGGACTGTAAAAAAAAATTAATACAAAGTGGCCGTTTTTCTTCTCAACATTGTCTTTCTTGTCGTCGACGATGCGAAAAGCGTGGCAGGAATGGGACGCGGCGCACATCGCGCGCGGCAGTCAATCTGGGCCCGTCCATCCTGACTGTAAAAAACCCATACAAAGTCTTCGCTTGTTCCTTTCAGCATGGCCTGCCTTGTCGCCGACGCTGCGAAATATGCGGCAGCAGTGGGACGCGGCGCACATATGGGACGCGGCGCACATCGCGCGCGGCCGTCAATCCGGGCCCGCCCATCCTGACTGTAAAATATCCATACAAAGTCTCCGCTTTTTCCTCTCAGCATGGCCTGCCTTGTCGCCGACGGTGCGAAATATGTGGCAGCAGTGGGACGCGGCGCACATATGGGACGCGGCGCACATCGCGCGCGGCCGTCAATCCGGGCCCGCCCATCCTGACTGTAAAATATCCATACAAAGTCTCCGCTTGTTCCTCTCAGCATGGCCTGCCTTGTCGCCGACGGTGCGAAATATGTGGCAGGAACGGGACGCGGCGCACATCGCGCGCGGACGTCCATGCGGGCTGCGGGCCCTCCGATCCTGACTGTAAGAAACAGTGCAAAGTTGCCGTTTTTCCTTTCATCATGGCCTGTCTTGTCGTCGACGATGCGAAATGCGTGGCAGGAATGGGGCGCGGCGCACATCGCGCGCGGACTTCTGGGGCAACCCCAAGGCAGGAGGGGCCACCTTACTTGTCAGAAGCAATGCCATGATGATTTTCCCTGCCCATATAGCTGTTCTTGGCCTCCACTCCGCAAAAGTGCATGGCAAGAATTGGGCGCGGCACCCCCCCCCGCTCGAAGTGAATGAAATGACCTTCCCGCTTGGGCGCCGAGCGAAATTTTCTCAAAGTTGCGCTCCCGCTTTGGCTCGGCGCACGTTTTTAGCTCGCCAATTCATTGGGCGCCGGGGCGTTCCAGGAGGCCCTGGGGTGACGAATGCCTGGGAGGTTTTTGCTTGTCCAGGCTCTTGGAGGGCCTCCTGAAGCTCCCCGCGGTTTCTTGGCGGCGTCTGCGGCCGTCTAGGCCATCTTGGGCGTCTTGGAACGATCTTTCGGCGACTCAAGGCCCCTCGGATCGTCTCGGGGGCGTCTTGGCTCTCTTGGGGCGTTCCTGGGGCGCTCTGGGACCTGGAAGTCAGCGCTCTGGAACCTGCGACACTGAAATGCCCGCGGAGCCCCCAGTTGTGCCATCACTGTTTCTTATGTTGTTGGGAGGGCGGGTGGGAATGGGCATGCCATGCTTGACTCGCTCGAGCTGGCTAGCTTGACCCCCACCCCCACCCCCACCCTCCCATCCTCGTTCCTCCTGTTTCCTCTCTTCCCCCACAGCTCCTCCTCATCATACTTGCGCGAACGGGCCGAGGCACCCCGAGCCTGGGGAAGGGCAGAGGACAGTCCACCACCTCGCACCTCCACCTCCTCATCACCACCGCCATCATCATGATCATCTTCTTCACCACCACCACCACAATCCTCTCTCTCTCTCTCTCCCTCTCGTTCTCTCGTCTCCCTCCTCCCTGGGTTTGCCTCCTCCTCCTCCTCCCCATACTCCCCCTCCTTCACTCGCGCTCCTCCCTCTCCCCGCTCCTCCGGGCTCCTGCCTCTCCTCCCTGCGGGGGCAGCCGGAAGCCGGCAACAGGAATGCTGCACGCGCGCGGGCCTTCAGCCCGTTCTCGTCCACGCCGGCCCTCGCCTGGCCGTTGCCGCCGGGGCTCGTGTCGCCCCAGCCCTGGGGGTGCGGGCGCTTGCGCAGGGCGGGAAGGCGCCGAGGGGCGCCGACGAAGAGGAGGACGAGGGCGACGAGCAGGGCGAGGAGGAGGAGGCGGACGAGGACGAGGACGAGGGCGAAGACGAGGAAGACGAGAAGGACGAGGTGGAGGGCGAGAACGAGTCGCGAGCGCATGCGAACACACGCCGAGTCGGGACAGAGGACGAGAACGAGGAAGAGGAAGAAGACGGGGAGGGCAAGCATGGCAATCAGTGCGCTCGAGACGCCATGGTCGCCACTCTGCCAATTTGGGATCGCCATCGCAGCCGCAATCACCGCTGCCGCCGCGGCATCACCAAAGCGTCATCGCAATCACGCGGCCACTACCATCCTGCCGTCTTTGCTTTCAACTCTCTGCATATCAGTGTCTGATGCCAGCCACCACGGAGCCGCGTGTACTTGACGGCGCAAAGGTTTACACCCGCTCTTGACCCCTGGCCCTATGTCAGCTCCTCGAAGAGGGAGGAAAATGAGGAGGAAGAGCAGGAGCACTAAACAGCGCAGGATATACCGCAAAGCACTGTACCAGGTAGTCAAAATATGGTTTGGCTCGTGCTCCCGACACCGACACATGTGTCGCGTATGGCCACAAACCCCCCCTTTGGCGTATGCAGGGCCATCCACCGGCGCGCCCTCCTCATCACCACCATCATCACCGTCACCATCACCCTCATCACTATCATCATCACCGTCACCGTCACCGTCACCCTCTTCATCACCATCATCATCACCATCACCGTCGCCGCCACCCCCAGCGCCATCCCCCCCACAGGACCCGGTGCAACCCGCGCCCCGCGCGCGGCCGGCCGCCGGGCCTGGTGGGCGGGAGCAGCGCCCTGCCCCCGCCTGCGGGCACCGGGGGCAGGGAGGAGCGCGGGCGGCATGCGGGGGGGAGGGGGGGCGGGGAGGTCGGGGGGGACGGAAGGGTGGGGTGGCAAAAGGTAGGGTAGGGTAGCAAAAGGAAGGGGAGCAAAAGGTAGGGTAGGGTAGGGTAGGGTAGCAAAAGGTAGGGTAGGGTAGGGTAGGGCAGGGTAGGGTAGCCAAAGGTAGGGGGAGGTCGGGGGGAGGTCGGGGGGACGAAAGGGGCAGGGTAGCAGAAGGTAGGGAACAGTCGGACTCGATTGGACAGGACACGCGAGAGGACACAAGATCCTGCCGCCTGCGGGCACGGGTGGAGGGAGGAGCGCGGGCGGCATGCGGGGGGGGGGCTTGTTTTATACTACCTCAAGACCTCCGTACACACATGGCTCCACGACGCGAGACAGAAGACCACCGGGCAACCCGGGAGTGCCACGCGAGACGTCGCCAAGGGCGCGCGCACTAGAGGAGGAAGGAGAGGCAACGGAGAAGGCAGCGGACGGCAAACACGAAGAAAGAAAGAAGACCTCCCCCCGTCCCCCCCCCCTGGCATGCGGCGGGGGGGGACGGGCGGAGGTCGGGGGGACGAAATGGTCAAAAAATACTAAAAGAATCGTCCCCAGGCTATTTTTGGAACTGTTTTTTGAACATTCCTCCCATAGAGGGACAGGCCCGACTTAACCACGGGAGCGACTCGGTGCCCGAGGAGCGCTAGAGGAAAGAACCGCGGAAGGACCCGACCGAGGCAGGCCTTCTGATCCACCCCTAGTAGAGTGGAAACTCAGTACAGTCAGACTCGATTGGACAGGACACGCGAGAGGACACAAGACCCTTCCGAGGGCCGCATCGCCATAGGAGTGTAAGAAGGCACGTGTCGCGAGGCACAGGACACAGGGGTACCCTTGAGCTGGCAGGGTCGACCTACGAATCCGGGCCGACTGTAGAGAATCAGCTCACGCAGCTTGTGTTTTCCTGGCGCCTCCTGGCGCCCATGTGTCGAGGAATGGGCGAGGCGGCGGGGCGGAAATTGGCTGCATGCTGCAGGTTTCGTACCCTAAAACAGGGCTAGGATCGGGATAAATCGCTCTGGAGCGTTCCGGAGCGCTCTCAGAGCGTTCCGGAACGCTCTGGAGCGGCCGCGGCGCCCAATACATCCTCCAAACCCGCCGATTCTCAGAGATTTCGATTTATCCCGATCCGATTTGTCCCGATCTTCGCGTCGTTTTATACCCCCCCCTTCCCTATCCCGCCCTTTCGTCCGGCCAGGCAGGGGGTCGGGGGGCGCGGTGCGGGCGAGCGGCCACCTCTGCGGGCATGGAGATACAAAAAACGGCACAGACATAAACTTTCGAGCGCGGTTTCCTCGGAGCCGCGCCGGACCCCTCGCCCTGTCGCGCGGAGCGCGCCAGTGGCGGCGCTGGAGGCGCCGCCAGGGGGGTCCAGCGCCGATGCGAGAAGTCCGCGCGGACCTCCGAAAGTTGCTGTTCGGGAGGTTTTGCTCTTCTTCGAGGGCAGGGGACCGGACCTGGCTGAGAGCAGGAGGACGAGGCCGTGGCCTCTGGATTATGCAAGTTATCGTGTCGCGGGAGATATGAGCGACTGAAACTGCCAGGGGAAAGAGGAGGAGGCGGAGGCGGCGGATGAAGCGGAGGAGCACGACTGGCACGAGAAGTGGGAGGGGGCGGGGGAGGCGGAGGAGAAATTGCAGGAGGAGCGAGAGGAAGAGCATGAGGCCGAGGCGGCGACGGATCGGCGGGAGGTACGATTGAAGAGAGCGCCCAGGGCGCTTGATGAACGGGCACATCAGCAGCAGCAGCTTCCGCATCACGTACGAATGGCCTCAGCGCCCCTCAGACCCGCGGGCTCCCTCCCTCCTCCCGAACCACTCGGGCCCAAATGGCAAGGCGCGAAGCGCGCTGCGGTCTTCGCGCCCACGTGGGGTGCCCAGGCACTTCGCATCTTGCGTCAGGCCCTCCCCGCAGACGCGCGCGCCTGCGTCGCGGCCTTCGCCCTCGAAGACCAGGGCTTGTCTCAACTCGCCGCACTCTCGTGCGAATCCCTCGTGAGGAGGAGGAGGAGGAGGAGGCAGGTGCGCGAGAGCGCGGGCTCCGCGCCCTCACGCTCTTCGATGCAGGGCCCGGGTGACAACCAGGCCAAAGGGGTTTGCACATCACTCCGTCCTCTGGCCTTCCATCCGACCATCCATCCACACACACCCCTCGCAAACCTCCTCCTCCTCCTCCTCCTCCTCCTCCTCCTCCTCCTCCTCCTCCTCCTCCTGCTCCTCCTCCTCCTCCCCTTCCTCCGCCTCTTCGTCAAGCTGCTCCTCCTCCTCCTCCTCATCCTCCTCGTCTAACGCCTGCTCCTCTTGGGCTGAGACCTGGATTACGGTCGGCGCGGGTGGCGCCCCCTGGTACTCATTAAGAAGCGCTGAGTTGGGATAGGGGAGTGTGGCAGATAGAAATGGTGGGAAAATTCGCGCCTCTGAGAACCTCCCTCAGGAGTGTTTCACCCTGAGAAGGAGAAAGTTGCATGGAAGGCACTCCGGAGTGGAGCGGTTCTCAGAGGCCGAAGCTGCTCGAAATGTTCTGTTCAACCCCTGCCTGAGAGGTGAACCGTTCAGATGTGCGGTGTCTGCTGTGCTTCGGGCATCTCTGCCCCTGGGCTCGCCCAGGTTCGGGGCTGGTCACCCAAGGCCCCTGTGCTTCCCGCCCGTCCGAGGCGGCGGCCCACGTTGAACAGCCCCTGAAGGCTGGCGATGATGCCGGGGAACCACCTGGCAGCGAAAGTGGGAGGGAGAGGAGGAGGAGGTGGAGGAGCAGCGGCAGAAGGAGTGGCAGCCACGAAGCATGAGCAGGAGGAGCAGGAGGAGCAGAAGTGGGAGCCCAATTGGCCAGGTCGAACGGGTCAGCAGTCAGGAGGCCCCGCCCATTCCCACCATTCTGCCCTTAAAACATTGAAGGGGCCCTGGGACACACAAATAAATACACACTAATCACGGGATTCCTCCTATTTTCCCATATTTTCTGGGTTCTCGTCTTCCCCCCCACTGCCCATATTTTCCCATATGTTCCTGGGGATCGACGATTAATTGTGTCTGTGTGTTTTTGTTCCCTCCTGAAACATAAGACTCGATGGTGGCACGACGTGCTATTGGGACTGGAACTCGCTCCCACCTCGCAGACGGAAGGCGCTCGCGCGCGGTCCCGCCTCCGCCGACCCGACGTGGCGAGGGGAGAGCAACGCTGGCCGCGCGCGGGCGGGAGCCGAACTTAAAACAGCTATGTGGAAGAAGAACAAAAACAAAAGAACAAAACAAAAAAAAAACAAAAAAAAAAAAAAAAAAAAAAAAAAAAAAAAAAAAAAAAAAAAAAAAAAAAAAAAAAAAAAAAAAAAAAAAAAAAAAAACTTGCGCGGCGCGAGCACAGGATCCCGCGCTCTCGGGCGAATGTACTGCGACGAAGACGAAGCGCATCATGTGCCACGCCGAAGAGGCACTGCCACCTCCACGCACCAACTGCGCGGCGTACGGGCGAAAACGGCAGGTCGCCCGCTCTCGCCCCGCTACCGCTGCCGCATTCATGTGATTCGGCGATCGGAACATGCGCCGCGCCCAACCGGGAACGCCGCTACAAGATAAAGTCTGCCGATCCTGTCGGCAGGTGGAAGAGGCTTGTTCATTCGTCGCTGTTTCTTTCGTCGTCTCCTCGTCGTCGTCGTCGCCCTCGGCATTCCAAACTTTCTCCTGGGTCTCCTTCTCCAACGCGCCAGCCGTTGCCTCTCTTACCCTGGGCCTTTCTCTTCAAGCGTGCTGGCCCAAACAACAGCAACGAACGTCGCAATTCATTCGAAGGGAAGCCCCTTCCCTTGATCCTTTCCCCGCCAGAGGGGGGGTCCTGGAAGGGGGTCCCAGGGGAGACCCGGGGGGGGGGGTCCCGGGTCAGAGTGCCATTTCTGTCGCCGTTCGTCCCCTGTCCTCGGCCCTCCTTGTTCGAGCCCAAGAGCGCCCAAGAACGCTCCAACAGTGCTCCAAGAGCGCCCCAAGAGGCGATCTTTGGGGCGCCTGGATTAAGGAACCCCCTTTTTCTACTGATCTCCTACAAGATGGCCCCAAGAGCGCCCCCTCAGGGGCTCCCAAGAGCGCCCCAAGAGGGCCCCAAGAGGCACCCAGACGGATCCAAGAGGTGCTCAACAACCTCGTCGTCCTGGTCGTCGCCGTCTTCAGGATCGGCGGCACCGGCCGTAAGGCCTTAGCAAGAAGGGAAGGGGGGAGGGTCAGGAGGATGGACGAGGAGGAGGAGGGCAAGACGGGGGATGGGGGGAGGGGTGATGATTCAAGCCAGGTGCGCTGATGTCACATCTGACGTCCTACCCCTCCCTCCCATCCCTTACCATGGCGTATATATCCTATCTATTCGCACAGTCGGGTCCCAATGGATGTAAAAGCATAGCGTAGAAGAGCACGGCAGAGCAAAGCAATGGCGTGGCATTGCGTTGTGAAGCATTGCATCACAAAGCAGAGCAACGCAACGCATGGCATCGCACAGCGAAGCACAACACAGCATCGATTTGCATGCCGCGGCATGGGACCGGCGGAGGACAGGACCTACGGAAATGAGACCAGCGCTGAGGCGGGAGCACAATTTAAAAGCACTGGCGCGCGGGAACGAGGTCAGGACCGAAAACGGGAATGATGCCACCGCTGCAGAGGGAGCACGATTTGGAAGGACCGAAGCACTGGAACGAGGCCAGCGCTACAGCGACAGCGCTACTTGGAAGGTCCGAACTCGCCAATGCTGTTGCGGGAACACGATTTGGAACAACCAGCGGCGGCGCCGGAACGAGGCCATCGTTGCAGCGGGAGCAGGATTTTGAATGACCGACGCGCGGAAATGAGGGCGGCGCTGCAGCGGGAGCACAATTTCAGAAGAACTGGAAATGACCGGATTGAAAAAAAAATACTGGAATGATTGACTGCGTGGAGCTCCCCATATGTACATAGATTAGCATGGACCTGTCCGCCGTGAATGTATAGGCGCAAGAGTTTCCGAATATTCACTGCCTTTTTTATTGACGGTCTGGGAGTGAATCTAACTGTGAATGAGTCGGAGTGTGAATCAGTCTCAGTAGTACGAGCGCGTCTCTGCGCATGAGCCTGGGGCCTCCTGTAGCCTCCTGAAACCTCCTGGGGCTTCCTGGGGCCTCCTGGAGCCTCTTGGGGCCACCTGTGGCCTCTTGGGGCTTCCTGTTTCCTCCTGAGGCGCCCCAGGAGAGGCCCAACAGGAACAGACGTACATAAAACACTGCAGATTGGAGCCGCAGGAGACGGCCAATCTATAGGAACACACGTAAAAAACCAAGGATTCGTGCCCCAGGGGAGGCCAAATCTATAGAAACATATGTAAAACACCGAGGGCTCGTACTCCAGGGGAAGCACAATCTATAGGAGCAGACGTACAACACATGGGATTGGAGCCACTCCTGTGGCCTTCTGATGCCTCCTGTTCCTGGGGACTCTTGGGGCCCCCTGGTGCCTTCCGGGCCTCCTAGTGCCTTCTGGCGCTTCCTGTAGCCTCCTGTCGCCTCCTGTGGCCTCCTGTGGCATCCTGGAGCATCCTGGAGCCTTCTGGAGCCTTCTACACCCTCTTGGGGCCTCCTGGGGCCTCCTGGAGCCTCCTGGAGCCTCCTGTAGCCTCCTGTGGCATCCTGATACCTCCTGGTACGTCCTGTGGCCTCCAGGAGCCTAATGTGGCCTCCTATGGCATCCTGAACAGAATCCGTGCCCACGAGTCTGGCCAGCAAAGTAAGCAAACCACTCGAGACATCCTCAAAATCTGGCCCCAGATGGGGGCGAAAATGACTGCATCGCTCGAGACATCCTCCAAATCTGCTCCGAAAGCCGAGGATGTTGAGCACCGAAACAGGCACCCCGCTCGAGACATCCCCGCCATGTTGCCGCGAACGGAGGAATGCAATACCCCCTGGCGGCTCCCCCTCAGGGGTGCTGAAATCCGCGCCTCGCTCGAGACATCCTCCAAATCTGCTCCGAAAGCCGAGGTTGAGCACCGAAACAGGCACCCCGCTCGAGACATCCCCACCATTTTGGAGCGAATGGAGGAATGCAATACCCCCTGGCGGCTCCCCCTCAGGGGTGCTCAAATCCGCGCCTCGCTCGAGACATCCTCCAAACCTGCTCCGAAAGCGGAGGATGCTGAGCACCAAAACAGGCAAACCGCTCGAGACATCCCTGCCACTTTGGCGCGAACGGAAACCGTGCAATACCCCCTGACGGCTCCCCCTTCGGGGTTCGGAAACCCGCGCCTCGCTCGAGACATCCTCAGAATTTGCTCCGCCATCATCATAATCATCATCATCATCATCATCATCATCATCATCATCATCATCATCATCATCATCATCATCATCATCATCATCATCATCATCATCGTCATCATCATCATCATCATCATCATCATCATCATCATCATCATCATCATCATCATCATCATCATCATCATCATCATCATCATCATCATCATCATCATCATCATCATCATCATCATCATCATCATCATCATCATCATCTTCATCTTCATCTTCATCTTCATCTTCATCTTCATCATCATCATCATCAGCAGCAGCAGCATCATCATCGTCAGCATCATCATCGGCATTATCAGTATCATTATCATTATCATTATCATCATCAGCAGCAGCATCATCACCATCGTCATCCGCATCACCACCACCGCCATCATCATCATGAGCATCATCATCCTCATGATCACCGCCATCATCATCGTCACCATCCATTAGCAGCATAACCATCATCATCAGCATGACCAGCATACTCTGAGTGGGATGGGTAAGAAAAGGAGGAGGGGAGGAGGTGACCGGACGAAGGAGTGGGCGCGGTCAGAGTAATTCTGAGGGTGGGAGGTGTGTTCCTTCCTTCCTTCCTTCATTCCTGTGTTCCGCGCGATCTAAGCAATCATTCACTGCGTAGAGCTCCCCATGTGTGCATCTCTTTGCATTGGCATGTCCGCCGTGGATGCCTTGGCACAAGAAACTATGAATATCCACGAACGGACATTGACAGCCTGGGAGAGAGTCTAAGTGTGAATGACTTTGAGTGTGTTAAGCCCTAGTCGTACGAGTGAGTCTATGCGCGTGAGCATGCGCATGGCTAAGCTTAGGGTGAGAGTATCTGCACGTCAGTGGCCTGAGCATGACTGAGCGTGACTGAATCCTCCTGGGGTCTCTTGTGGTCTCCTGGGGCTTCATCGAATCTCCTGGGGCTCCTGGGGCCTCCTGGGGCCTCTTGGGCCTTTTTGAAACTTCCTGGGGCTTCATGGAGCCTCTTGGAACTCCTGGGGCCTCCTGCGGCTTCCTGGAGCCTCCTGGGGCCTCTTAGGGGACTCCTGGGGCCTCCTGGGGCATCTTGGGGACTGCTCCTCCTTGAGCCTCCTAAGGCTTCCTGAGGCCTCTTGGGGCTTCCTTGGGCCTTACTGGCGCTTCCTGGGGACTAAGCTTCCTGAGACCTCCTGGGTCTTTGCTGGCGTTTCCTGGGGGTTCTTCGGGCCTCTTGGAGCCTCCTGGTACCTCTTGGGGCTTCCTGTGGCTTCCTGAAGTCTCCTGGGACCTTCTGGGGCCTCCCGGGGCCTACTGGGCCTTCCTGGAGCCTCCTGGGGAGGATTCGTGCCCCAAGAGGCCCAATCTATAGGAACAGATGTAAAACACTTACGATTGGAACCACAGGAGAAGGACAATCCATAGGAACGTACGTAAAACACCAAGGATTCGTGCCCCACAGGACGCTCAAGATGTAGGAACATACGTAAAACACCTAGGATTGGAGCCACAGAAGAAGGACAATATATAGGAACATATGTAAAACACTAAGGAGTCGTGCCCCAGGAGAGGCCTGATCTATAGGAACAGATGTAAAACGCATAGGATTGGAGCCGCTCCTGGGGCCTCCTGGGGCCTCTTGGGGCCTCCTGTTGCCTCCTATGGCTTTCTGGGGCCTCCTGGCACTTCCTGTGGCTGCCTGGGGCCTCCTGGGACCTCCCGGAGCCTCCTGGAACGTCCTGGGGCTGCCTGGAGCTTCTCGGTGCCTCACAGGGCCCCTTGTGGCATATATGGCTTCCTGGGGCCTCCTGGAGCATCCTGGGGCGTCCTGGGGACTCCCCGAAACTCATCGAAACCGCTTGGGGGCCCCCGCGGGAAGCTAAATCCGACAAACCGCCTGAGTCGTGGCCGCAGTGGAAGCGCGCACGGAGGCCGTGCGACTGGCATCGATGCGAGGCTACGCCGCCGGCCCCTTTGGGAAGCTAAATCCAGCAAACCGCTCAAGCCATCCTCCGAATCTGCTCTGAGCGCAGACGGGTCTGTCTGGCCACCCAAACAGACAAACCGCCCGAGGCAGCCTCGAAATCTGCTCCGAGAACGAAGGATCTCAGGCACCGAAACGGGCAGACCGCCCGAGGCATCCCCGCAATCTGGGCGCTGACGGAGGCCCTGAGTACCCCTGGCGGCCCCCCCCCGCTAGGAGTGCGAAAACCAGCGCCTCGCTCGAGACATCCTCAGAGGTTGTCTTCAGAAGTTGCTCTGAGCGCACGCGAGTCTGGCCACCAAAACAGGCAAACCGCGCGAGGCGTCCTCGCACTCCGGGCCCCTTGGAGTGCGAAAACCAGCGCCTCGCACGAGACATCCTCGAAATCTGCTCCGAAAACGAAGGATGATGAGTCAGGAAACGCACAAACCGCCTGAGACATCCCCGCAATCTGGGCGCGAACGGAGGGCCGTGCTATACCCCCTGGCGCCCCCCCTTAGGAGTGCTGAAACCAGCTAACCGCTCATCATCATCATCATCATCATCATCATCATCATCATCATCATCATCATCATCATCATCATCATCATCATCATCATCAGCATCAGCATCATCATCATCATCATCATCAGCATCATCATCATCATCATCATCATCATCATCATCATCATCAGCATCATCATCATCATCATCATCATCATCATCATCATCATCATCATCATCATCATCATCACTATCATCATCATCATCATCATCATCATCATCATCATCATCATCACTATCACCATCATCATCATCATCAGCAGCAGCAGCATCAGCAGCAGCAGCATCACCACCACCACCACCACCATCATCATCATCAGCATCAGCATCAGCATCATCAGCATCATCACCATCGTCATCGTCGTCATCATCATCATCATCATCATCATCATCACCATCACCATCACCATCACCATCACCATCATCATCATCACCATCATCATCGTCAGCAGCAGCATCATCATCTGCATCATCAGATTCATCTTCATCTTCAGCATCATCATCAGCATCATCATCGTCATCATCATACTACTCCATCATTCACCATCACCATCATACTCACATCGTACTCTCACCATACCATGGTGAAGAGAGGGAGGAGGGAGGGGAGGGGTGAGAAGGGTCCGGCGAGGTCAGAGTAATAACAAGAACCCCATCTTAGGATATGGGAATAACAAGAACCCCATCTTAGGATTATGGGAAAAAACAAATAATGAAATCCGGTGTGAAAACAATACGCGGAGAGGACGGGACACTCTCCAGACAGGGTCAGAAGAGAGAGGAAATTCATAGTGTATAAATGAAGAAGGGGGAACGGGGAGAGAACGGGGACAAGGGGGGCAAATGCGGGCGGGGTAGGTGATAGGGGAGGGGACGGAAACCCATCAGGTGCAGTCACAGCTCGGGGACAGACGACCCGCGGAGCGTGCGCTGGCCACCTTGCAACGCCGCTGTTGTTCACCACAGAGCCGAACTGGTTGGCAACGACCTCGGCGGAAGACTGTGCGAGGATGAGCACTGGAGCCCAGCAGCTGCACGGCAGGCTCACATCGCGACGACGTGGGCTTTGCTTTCTGGCACCACCTGGATATTTAGCCTTGCACGATCGCGGTTTTCTGATAGTGCAGATCACTGACGGCAATCAACCGCCGAATCAACGCGGCCCGAACCTGCCGTACAACACCTAGTCCTGATTCCGAGCACAGGAAGTCGCGGAGGGGGAAAAGAATCAGCGAAGCTCGAAAAGCAAAAAGGACGTGGAAATGCATCGATGAAACTCGGCTGTACACGTGATCGGGTTCTTCAATGTGTGCGTGCTCCCAAGAACAAGGAGGTACACTTGTGCAAACATCCGTGCGTGCGCGAGCAGGTGTGAGAATATGCGCACACGTATAACTATGTCGTGCGATCGTTCGCGCGCGCGCGTCTGTCTGCCTGTATGCTTATCCGCCACCGTGCCGCTGGGCACGGAGCGGGCGTGTCCTCGGGTCCTCTGCCCAAGCCTCTGAGCCTCACTCCTGCGGATTCCGTTAGGGATCCAGACCGCACGCTCTCGAGTCTCCCGAGGTCTGGCGCGTGCCCCCTGGGCTCTGGCAGTGCTGTCGCATGAATGCATCGGGCCCACAGAGGGCCCCAAGACGGGCCAAGAGGGCCTCAAGAAGCCCCCAAGACTGACCAAGAGGGCCCCGAGTGGCCGAACGATCGCTCCAAGACGCTCAAGATGGCCACTAGACGGTCCAAGAGGCCTCCAAGATGCCCAAAGAGGCCTCCAAGAAGTCTCCCAAGAGGGCCCCAAGAGGCCCCAATTCATTGGTCTCCCTCCGGTGCTTGAAGGATTTTGGCGCTCTCACCTTTTCGGCTTCCCGACGCTCCCAGACGGCCCCAAAGGCCCCCAAGACCGCCCCAAGACGGCCCAGGAGGCCGCCAGCGGGCCCCCAAACGGCCCAAGAGGGCCCCAAGACGGCCCAAGAGGCGCCCAAATCGGCCCAAGAGGGCCCCAAGACGGCGGCCCCAAACGGGGCCCAAAAGAGGGAGCACGAACCGAAAATCCAAGCCTTCCGCCCCGAGATGTCCCCAGGAGGCCCCCCAAGAGGCGCCCAGGAGGCTCCAAGAGGCCCCCAAAAGACCCCCAAGAGGCCCCCGAGCGGCCCAAGAGAGGCCCCAAGAGGCCCCCAAAAAGCCCCCAAGAGGCGTCCAAACTGCCTCCAGAGGCCCCCGAGAGGTCTCCCACGAGATCCCAACAAACATCCAACAGGCTTCATACCCACAACCTAGGCACGGTGTCGGGATGGGCCGAAAGCCACTAAATCCGCCGCCCCCTTTTGATTTATCAAAGTGGTGCCTGGCGTGCCGGACGATATGGTTTTGGTTTTGGTTCTTTTTCCAAAAGAACTCCCCCTGGAGCTTCGGCCCGTCCCGCTGGGGTCCCGGGAGGATTGCCCGGGAGCTCAATTCTCCCAATTGTTCCTCCAAGACAGCTCCAGATGGCCTCCAAGATGGCCACATTGGCCCAAGATGGACTCCAAGATGGTCCAAGATGGCCTCCAAGTCCGCCCAAGATGGTCCAAGACAGCTTCCAAGACGGCCCAAGAGAGTCCTAGACGGTCCAAGACGGCCCAAGAGGCCCCCCCAGAGGCCTCCAAGACGGCCCAAGAGGCCTCCAAGAGGTCCTCCAGGAGGGCCCGAAGAGGCCAAAATCATTGAGTTTCCAAAGGTTTTTGAAGGATTTTGGCATTCGCTTCTTCTCGGCTTTCCGACGATCCAAGACGGCCCAAGAGGCCCCCAAGATCGCCCCCACAGCGCCCAAGAGGCCTCCAAGATGGCCTCAGGACTGCCCAAGAGGCCCCCAAGACGATCCCAAGAGGGCACAAAGACGACCCAAGAGGCCTCCAAGACGCCCAAGCTGGCCTCCAAGACGGCCCTGGAGCACCCCAAGAGGGCCCCAAGTCGGCCCAGAAAGGCCCCCCAAACAGCTTCCGACGGCGTCAGACGGGCCAGGAGCCCACCAAGATGGCCGAAGTTGGCTCGAAGCTGGCCCAAGACGGCCCCAGAGGCCTCCAAGAAGGCCTCCAGAAAGGCCAGAAAAGGCAAAATTCCGTTATTTTCCCTGCGTTTTCGAAGGATTCTGACACTTGCTTCGTTTCGGCCTTCCGACGGCCCGATACGGCCCAAGAGCCCCCAAAGATCGCTCAAAGATCGCCCAAGAGGCCTCCAAGATGGCCCCAGAACGGCTCAAGAGACCCCCAAGACGGCCCCAAGAGGCCCCCAAGACGGCCCCGAGAGGCCTTAAGACGCCCCAGATGGCCTCCAAGACGGCCCTGGAGCATTCCAAGAGGGCCCCGAGTCGGCTCAGAGAGGCCCCCCAAACGGCTTCCGACGGCGTCGGACGGACCAGGGGCCTACCAAGACGACCGAAGATGGCACTAAGATGGCCCACGACGGCCCAAGAGGCCTCCAAGAGGGCCTCCAGGAAAACCCGAAAATGCCAAAATCATAGATTTCCCATGAGTTGTTCAATTGTGGCATTTACTTGTTTTCGGTCTTCCGACGGCCCGAGACGGCCCAAGTGCCCCAACAGATCGCCCAAGAGGCCCAAGACGGCCCCAAGAGGCCCCCACGACGGCCCAAGAGGCCTCCAAGACGCCAAGACAGCCCAGGAGCCCTCCAAGACGTCCTCCAAGAAGGCCCGAAAGGGTCAAAATGACCTCCAGGCGGCCAAGATGAGTTTCAAGATGCCCACGTGTTCCCAGAAGGCGTTCCAAACCGATTCGGGGAACACATGGTCCGATAGCTTGGCAGGTCTGGCCTCAACGTTCGGCCACATAGGCGCTCCCAAAAAGGCAGGGGGCGGCGGTGATTCGCCGTAGGCGTCTTCGATAGGCTTAGGCTCAAGCCGACCTGGTTCGAGGTGGCGTGCGCAGTCGAGAACTTGGGCCCAGCTTGCCACATGCGGAGATGCTGCAAGACGGCACAGGATGGCGCCAAGATGCTACCAAAAAGACTCCCAACGAAAAACACCAGACGCCTTGAGACGCCCCAGGATGGCCCAAAATGACATCCAAAAAGGCCCAGACCGCCGTCAAGGTTGCACAAGGTAGCCTGGCTTCTCAGAGCCGATACATTAGGAAAACGTCTGCGTTCCCGTCTCGGTAGCTTGCATATCACCCGCTGTGCTCCTAGCAGCGTCGAAGACGGCCCAAGACGCCCCCGAAGTCGGCCCCAAGATGGACAAAGAGGCTCCCAAGAGGGCCCCAAGGCGGCCAAAGAAGGCACCAAAACGGCCCATGGGCCCCCAAGGCAACTAAAGGCGGTCCCACGACTGCCCCGAGAGGGGGCCCAGAGGGGAAACCCGAACGGACATTCCCAGTCCTCGGCCCTGTGAAGTCCCCAAGAAATCCCCCAAAGGCCCCAAAATGTCCCCAAGGCAACGGAGGCCCCCAGGAGGCCCCCAAGAGGCCCAACAACTGCCTGCCACGAGACCCCATCAGCCATCCGAGTGGCCCCTCACCCACAGCCCACGCACGGTGGCGGATGCGCCGAAGGCCATTCGAAATTTGACTATATGGGCGCCTGACACAGGTCTCTTCCTGTTCTTGTTCCTCCTCCTCCTGCTCCTCCTCCTCCTCATCCTCCTCCTCCTCCTCGTCCTCCTCCTCATCCTCCTCCTCCGTAGCCATTTTGGCTCAAGCCATTTTGGCTCAAGGTTTTGACGTTCACAACGAACCACGTGGATACCGCTAGTCCGCGGCTCGACCACAAAATTTCTCAGCAGCTGGTGCGCCCCAGTTGCTGCTGCCTCCCGCGCCCGCGGGTGGGCAGCCGCATCCTGGCGTTCGGTTTTGTGAGCTCCTGCTGGAGCAAGCGCACTTCCAGAGATGGCGCCACCATGGGAAAACCACAGAGGCAGTAGTACACGGTGTGCGGGACTTGCAGAGGATGGGTCTACAACTGGAAGCTGGAAAAGTCAGGAGGCTGGCGCAACAAGTGTGAGGACCGCATCACGGGCTGGAACGACTCGGGGGCACAGGCTTCGGGAGGGAGCCAGCGAGGTGCGACACCCCCGTGGGGCAGAAGCCCACCTGCACTCGCGCCCGCCGATGGGATCCAGCAGATCCCTGATAAGGTCCAATCGGGCAAGGGCGCCTTCGCCAAGACGAACGTGGACCTGGGCCCGCTGCAGGCTCTCCAGGCCCAGCTCGCGGCCAAGGACCCGAAGCCCGCGGAGGCGTCCAAGTCGGCCGCGCTCCGCACGGCGATCCACAAGCTGGACACGTCAAAGGCAGCGCTCGGCAAGGCGGCGGCCCAGCTCATCGGGGCAGCGAACGGGCTCAAGAGGGCGCAGGGTAAGCACGATAGGGCCTGGAGGGGGCAGGTGACGCAGAGGAGGAGAACGAGGCAGCACGTCGAGCCTGCCATGACTCGACTCTCCATGCGGCACCTCCAGAAGAAGACACCACGCGGAAGGCGCCGCCAGTGGACTCGGAGCTGTTCGCCAACCCCTCGAGGACCACACGAAGGGGGACCGCGGGCGCCTACGGCAGCTTCAGAAGAAGATGGAATCACTCGCGACCCTGCTCGACAACGCCCAGAACCAGTGCAGGGCGTTCACCGAGGCGAAGAGGGCTGCGGATGCGATCCACGCGCCCCACAAGGCCGAGAAGCGGAAGGCGGCGGAGGACGCTTCGGTCGCCCCAGGGCCAGCGACGCCAGTGGCTCAGGAGGCACCAGCGCCTGCTGACGTCGCCCCACCATCAGCCGAGGAAGTGCAGCAGAAGAAGGACAGGCTCGACAGGCTCAAGGAGGAAGCGAAGGTCAAGGTCAGACTCGAGGGAAAGGCCCCTCCACTCCTGCGGCTGGCGATGACCATCCTCCTCTTTAGCAAGATCTTCTGCCCGAGCATCACGCAGTGGGGCAGCAAAACCCACAAGTGTATCAACGAGCAGGGCAGAGACATGGACGTGATCATGATGTGCGAGACGCACGTAGACA